TAGAGTGAGGTAAATGAAATCTGTGAAGGTTAGTTTTAAAGCTAAATTTAAAGTAAACTTGCACGACAGCTGAATCCTGAGCTTTATTTGTTCTGTAACAGTTTCTGGACTGTGATTCATTTTTATACTTCCGGTCTATTTGCGATAATTATAGTTTAATTTAGTAGCTGGAAGTGCATGTTATAGAATTGTGAAGAGATTTGAAGATCCCAATCTTGTGCATGTACTAATGTGCAGAATATTTAAAATCTTAATTTTTTTGATAAAACTGGAATTTTATTTTTAAGTTTTGTTTAATTGTGTACCAAGACACACTTTCTTGCTCAGTTGAGAATATGTGCATCATTGACTGATTCTTGAGATTTATTCATAAATGTACTGCAAATTGGTTCAACTTGTATGCTTATGTGTACGTAACTATACTGTATATGTGCATGCCAGACTGGTGCTTTGTTTCCTCGCAGTCAATCATTTCAGATTTTTTTTGCTTGTTAGCACTGCTATTAGGTGGCCAGAGACACTAGCTAAGAGCTTTGATGTGAATGGCTGTTTTAGACATCGGAGATCAATTGTCTGTGAAAGCCAGTTTTGTTTTGGATGGTGGAACACACTGCCTACAGTGCTCATGAATTGGTGCGTTTAGTTTATTTCTTGTAAATGCTTGTCCTACGTTTAACAAGTCTGTAAAATGGGAAAACGGTTTAGTACATTAGAATTCCTGTGTACAATTGTTTGATGCATATTGAATGGTTATTTTCTGTTTTGTCTATTTTAGTGATAATTCTGATTTGAATATTGTTCCGTTATTGCATAAAATAAGACAACACTATTTGATAAAAAAAAATGACCAAACACAGATCTGCTTTCAGCTGTAGTGTACTTACAAAAAAAAATTGGGAAACAGAACTAACAGTGGACAATTTTTGGAGGGGAGGGGTGCTTATAGTTAATGTCTGGTGCAAATTTTCCTCCCACTAAAAAGCAATGCGCATAAAAATATTGCTTTTAAAATCTATGTCTCCAATTCCAAAAAAGGATAATTTCATTAATTGAGTGCATATTTATTTGAAAAATGTGAAGAGTTAGATATAAGTGAAATAGAATTTTCATTCACTTCAAAATCCCTTTCATGGTGTACCAAAATATTTTGCAGCCAGTTATGTAAAATTGAAATATAGTCAGTGATGTTAATGTGTCCAGGTTTCCACAGCCCAAAAAGTTAGGTAAGTAACGAGTTGATTTGTAGTGATGATACTCAATCATAGGATCTTTTGCATCCATTTACACAGGCTGACATGGAACTGTTTTTGGTAGTTTTTGATAACTTTCCTCACTATCCATGATACCTCCTAATTTTATATCATCCACGAACTTAATAATCATGCAGTGTACGGTCACATCTGGATCATTTATGTAAATAACAAATAACAAAGGTCCCAGCACCAACCCCTGTGGCACACCAGTCTGAGAAACAACCTTCAACCATTACCCTCTGTTACCTACCATTGAGCCAATTTTGAATCCATATAGCTAGCTCTCCCTGGATCCCATGCAACCTACCCTTCATGACTAGCCTGCCGTGCAGGACTTTGTCAAAGGCCTTACTAAAATCCATATAGACAACATCCACTGCCCTATCCTCATCTATCCTCTTGGTTATCTCTTCGAAAAACTCTAAAAGATTTGTCAGACGTGACTTCTTGCGCACACATCCATGATGTCTATCCCTAATCAGACCTCGACTATCCAAATATTGGTTGATCCTGTCCCTCAGTATCCTCTCCAACAACTTTCGTACCACTGATGTCAGGCTCATTGGCCTGTAGTTTTCTGGCTTGTCATTGCTACCTTTCTTAAACAATGGAACAACATTAGCCACTCTCCACTCTTCCAGAACTTCTCCAATGGCTAAAGATGAAACAGTTTCTTCCCTAGCCTCCCACAATGTCCAAGGATGGACTTGATCAAGCTCGGGATTTAACTACCTTAATGCGATCTAAGGCTGTAGACACCTCTCTGGTAATATGTATGCAGTCTAAAACATCCCCACTTGTTTCCTTTATTTCCTTAGCATCCCTGATTCTCTCCTCAGTAAACACTGAGGAGAAATATTCAGTAAAAATCTCCCCCATCTCCTGTAGCTCCACACATAGATGGCTATGCTGATCTTTAAGGGGACCTATTCTCTCCATAACCACCATTTTACTTTTAATATAGCCGTAGAACCTCTTGGGATTATCTTTAACCTTATCTGCCAGATCCATCTCGTACCCTCTTTGCTTTTCTGATTTCCCTCTTAAGTGTGCTCCTACATGACTTTGATTAGGCCACAGCTGGATGACTGAGTGCAATCCTGGTCACCCAATTAAGGAAGGATGTGATTGCGTTGGAAGGGTTGCAAAGGAGATTCACCAGGATGTTGCTTGGAATGGAGCTGGTTAGCTATGAAGAAAGGCTGGAGAAGCTTGTGGGGTGGTGGGGGACCTGATTGAGCTGTATAAGATTTAAGGGATATGGGCAGGGTGGATAGAAAAACAGCTATTCCCCTCAGTTGAAGGGTCAATACGATGGGGTCATAATTTTATGAAAGGCAGTAGATTTAGAGGGTATTTGAGGAGTTTCTTGTTCACCCAGAGGGTGGTGGGAAGCTGGAAGAGTAGTTGAGGCGGGAAACCCCACCAAATCTAGTACTTGGATGAACACATGAAGTGTCGTAACATGAAAGGCCGTTAGGGGCCAAGTCTGGACTAAAAGTGGGATTGAAGTTGAAGGGTTTCTTCTGTGCTGTATGACTCGCTGTAATGTGTAAACGTGCATTGAAGGGATTAATTCATTACACAGTGTTACTGATTGGAGCGGTCACGCTCCAAGATAAATGGAGCAAGAGGGCTGAGGCTGGGCTACCAGCGGACGTCAAGTGAGTATGAAGTCAGGCATCAGAGCTGTTGGCCTAATCCAGCGAATGAGTATAGAACGGGACACAGTGAATGATCGTACAGTGATTAGTAGCAGTTGCCAGAGGAGCCCGGTTGATGTGTATGTGTGTCAGTGAATGGAGCTCAGTGTGTGGTTGTAGTGTCTGGAGGTACTGTCTGGTTTCTCAGTGGGAGGCGGCTGCTGCCAGCGGACCCCCCGCCCAGCAGCTCAGTGGGGGGTGCCTGCGGTCAGCGCCGCAATTCCCACAGCCTTTTATAAAGGACTCTCGCGATACTCGACATGAGTTGTTTTATGTGCGCGGTGGGAGGGAGGAATTTATTTATTTTACGGTCTGTGAGCACACTTTAGAATAATTACAAAAGACGCCTTAACTTTTGATGTGAAACTGGGTAAGCATTGGAGAGGAAGATTGCACGGAGTTGCATGAAGCCAGATTCGGAGAGAAAAAAAATCATTAAACAGGCTGTAGGTCCTGAATTCGGCCAGTAAGTTGACTCTTGCGTGAAATAATTTTTGTAAAAAGTTACTGTTTAAGGCGGGAGTGGGGCAATGTTAAATTATGCCCAGGATTGTATTGGTGGTACGAAATTCGTAAAGACCAAACGTTGAGTAACAAATTATTGTTCATAGACATGTACTGGCCTAAGACTTCGATTACCTTTAAACAAATGCGATGTATCCAGCACTATAATCTTGAGCATTAAGAAATGTCAGCTCCTTTTGTACAAATCACTGCCCAGGCTCATTGGGAACTGGAAGTTTTGGAGTTAGTGGACAGAGGAAGGGTTCCGACCTGAAACGTCAACTTTCCTGCTTCTCTGATCTGCCCGGCCTGCTGTGTTCCTCCAGCTCCACACTATGTTATCTTTGACTCCAGCATCTGTAGTTCTTGCTATCTCAGAAGAAAGTGTCATCGTTTTTTTTCGTTGCACAGTGATTAATCCTGAACTATAATTTGGAAAATAAATTATTGTGAATGGTGTATGTTTTAAAGTTAATCTTACTTAATTATAATTTCCAACAAATGCCCATAATAACTTTTTAAAAATATGTAGTGGACAATGAAGAAGATTATCTAAGTTTACAAAGAATCTTGATCAATTGGGTCCATGGGCTGAAGAGTGGTGAATGGAGTTTAATTTGGATAAATGTGAGGTATTGCATTTTGGTAGAACAAGGGCAGGACTGATACAATTAATGGTAGGACCCTGGGTAGTGTTGTAGGACAGAGACCTAAGGCTTTCAGGTACATAATTCTTTGAAATTTGCGCCACATGTAGACAGCGTTTAGCACACTTGCCTTCATTGCTCACATCATTGAGTATAGGAGTTGGAATGTTATGCTGAGATTGTGTAGGATGCTGGTGAGACCTCTTCTGGAGTACTGTGACCAGTTCTGGTTGCCCCCCCCCCCCCCATTTTAGGAAGGATTTTACCAACCTGGAAGAGGTTCAGAAAAAGATCATCAGGATGTTGCCTGGAAGGGAAGGTTTGAGTTATAGGGATAGGCTGGATAGACTGGGACTTTTTTCACTGTAGCGTAGAAGCTTGTGGGGTAACTTTATAGAGGTTTTTAAAGTCATAAGGGGTCTAGATAAGGTAGATGGCAAGTGTCTTTTCTCTATGGTGGGGGATTTCAAGACAAGGGGGCATATTTTTAAGGTGAGAAAGATTTAAAAAGGACATGAGGGTAACTTTTGTTTTTACACAGAGTGGTTCATGTTTGGAATCAACTTTCAGAGGCAGTGATGGATGGGGATACAGTCACAACATTTAAAAGATATTTGGATAAGTACGTGAATAGGAAAGGTTTGGAGGGATAGGAGCCGATTTCAGGCAGGTGAGACTGGTTTAGTTTGGGATTATGATCGGCATGGACGTGTTGAACCGAAGGATCTGTTTCTGTGCAGTATGATTCTGAGTCTATAAAATCGGTCCTTTGTACCTGGTAATGCCTACATGTGATTCCAGACCCACAGGAATGTGGTTGATTCTTAACTGCTCTCTGGGCAGTTAGGGAAGAATGATAAGTGCTGGAGCAAATTACTGCAGACGCTGGAATCTGTACTGAAAACAAAAAATACAGGAGATCGCAGCAGGTCAGGCAGGATCCATGGAGAGAAAGCAAACTAATGTTTTGAGTCGAGATGACTTCATCAGAGATGGCCTGCCAGCAATCCCACGTCCCATGAATGAATACAAAAGTCACCAGTTATACTGGTTTCTCCTGGAAAGTTGACAGAACGGGTTATGACAAATGTACATCCATCTAATTTTCACCATTACCAAATCAAGTACTGGATTTGAAGAGAAAAGCTAAATTTGATAATAACTTACTTGGTAGTTTTAGCAATGCAACCACAATAGATTCAAGGAAACTATTTAAGTGCTGTAGCATTTTTGAAGAGCTGGCATCTCAAGTCAGTTCTAAAGCCTTGTGAAGTTATGTCATTTAAATTCTGGAAAGCTGGTATAGAGTTTTGTCTGAAATGGTACTAACAATTCATTATCGTGTCTAAAAAGAGCTGTCAAATGGGTAATAAGCAGAAGCTGCTAGAATTGAACAAAAACTGAAATTGCTGAAGAAACTCAGCAGGTCTAGCAGCATCTGTGGAGAGAAAGCAAAGTTCGTGTTTCGGGTCCAGTGATGACTCTTTGGGTTCTGCTGAGTCTCTTCAACAATTTATGTTTTTATTTCAGATTTCTGGCATTCACAGTTTTTTGTTTTAATTATAGGATTGTAACTTCAATAACCCTAATTCTATGAGGTTTAACCATATAACGTACCTTTCACCTCCAACCACAGCCTTTCCCCTGGTCCTGCCATTGATTGCCTGACACTTCCATCATTGCAATCGTGTTCTGCACCAGTTGGCAAATAAAAAGATCTTGTGTTAGCCAATTTTATGACTCTGGATTGTCCATCAAGTAGCTTTTTCCAACCCTTATTTGTTTAAATAACCCTATAATCTTCCTCCTATATTGCTCACAGCAGTGTTAAGGATGTTACTCTTTGATTCAGGAAAACTCGAGGATTTTCTAGAATGGCTAGCCACTCCAGTAGATAGTTAGAGGACTGATGTTAATGCAGGTAGAAATGCTGCTGAAAGTTATTGAGTGTTTAAAGCTGGTACTGTTATTGTTCCTGATTTATATTAACGATTGGATGAAGAAACTCAACACCAACAGATGGCAAATATTTATTTTTTCTTTATCATTGTTGCATATCTTTAGTATAAGCCTTCTTGCTCTCCTGAGTGCAATATGTGGATGGGACTTGATACCAATATGCAATCAGCCTGAGTCCTGGAATTTCAGGTGAAAAGGATTGTAAGGTTTGTTTTACTATACATTTTTCTCACCACGTTACCAAAACCCAGAGAAAGCATCCTAACTGGATGCATCACAGTTGTTCTTTCCAAGATTGAAAGAAACCATAGTGAGTTGTGAACATAGCCCAGTCTATCATGCTCCATCTATACTTCCTGCTGCCTCATTTTAGAGACTCCTCCCACTCCAGTTGTATTCTCTTTCACCTTCCTCTGGCAAGCAGAAGATAAAGTTTGAATATAGACTTATATCATAGAATCCTTACGGTTGGAAATAGGCCATTTGGCCTAACACGTCCACACCGACTCTCCAAAAGAGCATACCACCCAGACCCAGCGCCTAGTCTATCCCTGTAACCCTGCATTTCCTATGACTAACCCTATCTAGCCTGCACATACCTGAACACCGTTGGCAATTTAGCATAAACAATCCACCTAACTTGCGCACCTTTGGTCTGTGGGAGGAAACCAGAACACTCGGGGGGGGGCGGGGGGGGAGCCCATGCAGACATGGGGAGAATGTGCAAACTCCACACAGACCAGTCGCCCGAGGGTGGAATCGAACCCAGGTCCCTGGTGCTGTGAGGCAGCAGTGCTAACCACTGAGCCACCGTGCCCCAGAAAAGAGTCTCAAACAGCTGCTTCTCCGCTATTATCTGACTTTTGAATGGACCTCTCAATAGTTATTGTTGATCTCTCTCTCTCTGCACCACGTCTTTGGCTGTAACACTGCATTCTGCAGTCTGTTCTGCTACCCTGATGCACTTTGTCTGGTACGATCTGCTTGTATGGCATGCAAAATAACACTGTTCACTGTATCTCCGTATATGTGACAGCAATAAATCACAACCATGAAATTTTGTATTTTGTATCCTGAATTCTGCTGATGTTCAAAAAAATGTTGAAATACCGTGGCATAATTTGTTACTCACTGCTTGTATTTTTCCACTAAGTTATTCAGTCAGATTGTCAATATATTTGATTATTTCAGGGCAAGGTCAATAGAGAATTGACACCATGGAGACGTTGTACAAGACCAAGTTCATGACTAGCAGTGAACAAATGCTTCAAAGGGAAGCATCAGTAAGTACTTCTATACTAAAGTTGGGGGTGAAATAGTAACAGTGTTACCTTGACTTTTGTAGAATTTGAATTGATAAATATACAGAATGGATCCTTTTTTTGCATTACTTCTTGTAGAATGGTTATCTCTTTTTGTAACAATCTGAACATATTTTCAACACTAAAACATGTATTTTAGTGAAAAATGTTGTTTTAAAAAATGTCATTTACATCAGCAATTCTTGAGCTTCTCTACTGTCTGCCACAATGTGGATCCGTGGTAACTGCAGTTGGATACTTTAGTAATCCTCAATGCAGAATTACCCTGGACTCCTCATCACTTTAAGTGGATATGAAGTCATGCTCAGCAATCAACGTTGAGATCAAAACCATAATTTCAGAAAGTAGTAGTTCTGGATAGAAAATAATTATACCAGAGTATGTCAGTTCACAGTGTGCTTCCAATACTTCAGATCTGAAGTGAGAAAATACTGATTCAGTACACTTTACAGTAATTTTTTTTATAATATGTTTTATCAAATTAATATTGAATGTCAGTTGTGACAGTTGTGTAAGAACAAATTACTGCAACTGCTGGAAATCTGAAATGAAAAAATACTGGAAATACTCAGCAGGTCAGATGGATTCTGTAGAGAAAAGCAAAGTTAACATTTCAGGTTGATGGCCTTTCATCAGAACAGTTATGACATTTGTCATCTATTCTATTATCATTTGAAGTAGTTGATTATTAAGTGAATGGGCAAAACTACGGCAGATGGAGTTCAACATAAATAGGTGTGAGGTTATCAATTTTGAATCGAGAAAAGATAGATCAGGGTACTTACTTGATGGTATGAAGTTAAAAACAGTGGATGCCCAAAGAGACATGGGGGTTCAGGTGCATAGATCTTTAAAATGTCACAGACAGATGCAGAAAATAATCTAAAAAACTGATAAAATGATTACCTTTATACTTCGAGGGCTGGAATACAGGATGCAGAAGTAATGCTGCAGTTATACAACACACTGGTTAGACCCCACTTGGAATACTGTGAGCAGATCTGGGCATCACACCTTTAGGAAGGATATATGGGCCTTGGAGGGAATACAGTGTAAATTTACAAGAATAATACATGGATTTCAGGTGTTAAGTTATATAGAGAGATTACATAAATTAAACCTGTTTTCTCTAGAGTTTAGAAGGTTAAAGGGTGATCTGATCAATGCCTTCAAGATATTAAAAGGAAAAGACAGTGTAAATAGAGAAATTATTTCCACTGGTTGGGCATTCTAGAACTAGGAGGCACAGTCTGAGAATTAGGGCTAGACTGTTGAGAAATGTTCGGAAGTTTCTGCACACGCAGTGGTAGTTGTTTAGAGCTCTCTTGCACACGCGGCACTGGAGGCAGGATCAGTTTTTAGTTTTAAATCTGAGAGCCATTTTTGTTAAGCAATGATTTTAAGGGAAATGGATCAAAGACTGGTGTATGGAGTTAGGCCAGAGATCAGCTATGATCTCAATGCATGGTGGAACAGACTCAAGGAGCTGAATAGCCTACTTTTGTTCTGATGTTTCTAAATCTTTAAATATGGTTATTTTACATTTTAAGTGATATTAACAGCTTCAATTTTAACACGCATATATACAATATATTCACAGAACCATGTCACTGTGCACAAAAGACCAAAGGAAACATTGAGAATAACTGGTAAGATTGCAAGTTTCTGAAATATCGAATCGCAGATGGATGAACTGGGCTTTAGTTTACAACAGTATCCACATAACGCTGAGGTTCTTGTCTGAAGATGTGAGCTGTATCTTCAGCAATTTATATTTTTCTCAGGACATTTTTGTGAAAAATGTGTTGAATTTTCAGAATAAGGACACACTTTTAAAAGTAATGAAAAGTTGATTGTTTGGAGAGAAGATTTGGATTATGTAAAGTGATGAAAAGGACAGATGAATGACTTACACTCTGCACAGGAACAATCATCATCTGAAGTGAATTGCCGCAATTGCATGTCAGCACTGAATGTCTGCTACAAAAAAAAAGTACGAGTGTCATAAACTCTGTAAAAACAAAGATTATAAATTTCACTTTCAGAAAATATGAAGTTAATTAGAGAAAACGTTCAAACATGTGACTGTTAAAATGTTATTTCAAACTTCCATGATGCCAGAAATTTGATGAGATGAATTTTGACTGAAGTTTTCATATTGTGAAAATTTCCAAACTTTCCTTCTAAATGGCAATTTTCCTGAGGGAATTCTCTGTTATGTTGCACCAGCAGTCTGTTGCTACTTTCAGAGTTTAATTTATTATTAAATAAGCACTCAAGATATTATTTCTGACTGACTTAACCTGAAATAATCATAATAGAAGATAGGTCAGTAGTTGAGAGAAAAGCCTACAAACATATGCCAGTAATGAATTTATTTAGTGAATTCATAATGAAAGTGAACCTGCAAGGCACAGAGTTTATTCTTGAGTTGGTTGTAGTATAAAGTGGTAGTCAGTTGGCTATTTGCCATTTGTGGAAGAGAGTTCGAAACAACTACCACTCATTGTGTGTTTTGTCCATCTCTGATTTTTATTTTTGTTCAAGTTAAGAGATCCACGTGTAGGACTGTCCTTCTTGAGCTTCTTGACGTTTCTTCAGACTTTGTCCATGATTGACATCCTTATCCTCTTTCAACACTTGTCCCCTATCGGACACTGGAATGAGACTGCTATTACTTGCACCTACCTTTAATTATCAAATCATGGAATATTTCTTGTATTGTTCTCTTCCTTTTCCTGCAGTTACTTCTGGATTCACCAAAGGATCTGTCTTCGGCTCCATCCTCAGCAAAATGTCATTTTATGTACTGCCTTTAAGATGTTAGAACACAAGTATTGCTGAAAAGGCACATTTTAATAAAGCTTTCCGTCTTGAACTCATCAGGATTATTCACAAGAACACCAATGTAAAGGGGAAAATATTTTTGAACCTTATGAAAAGAGTATTTGGATGGATTGGCAAATGAATTCTGATTGTCCTGAAGAATACATGAGTTACATGATGATTGACAGTTAAATGCCTAGCTTTAATTAAATTTGAACCAGGCAGGTTGACTCTGATTGGTAAAGGTGTTTCCCTGAGGAATGAACCAGAGAATAACTGCCACTAGTTTTGTTTACTCAAAACAGATGCAATGTCTGCACATGTTCTTTGTCTCTGTAAAGAACAGGTTCCTGTATGATAGTATATTTAGTTTCCAGTAGATGGAGGTATGCCATACTGCAGGCCCACTGATGGTCTTAAATTGGTTGTCTGTGGAATTTTTAGCACACTCAGGTTAATTTAGCAAATATTGTCGAATTGCAGAATGAGATCCAGAGCTGGACATCCAAGAGGTTTGTAAGCGTGGGCTGTGTAGTTACAGTCAATATCTTGCCTGTAGGGAGCATCCATGTTGTTCGATGCAATCTGCCAGTCTTTGGAATGGATGGCCTACGTACCTGGCATCACAACAGCACTGAAATTTATATATCACATTACTTATTTGTGTGATAGGCAGAATGTCTTTTTGACTTGATGGCAGTACCTGTTAGTGGCAACGCTACTTGTGTTGCTGCTACATGGCGTGAAACAGCTAGCCTTTTGATCAAATCTTTCTGGTGCCTTACTCTTCCAGAGTAATCTGAGGTAGGCTGGACACTTTGCAAGTCCAAAGGTGGTGGCCGTAGGCTTGCTGGTATCCTTGTGTAATATACTGCAAAAAATGACCTGATCACAATAGACATAATGCTGCAGGATGTGTCATATTTCAGCATCAAGCTTGCATGGTGATCAATGACTTGAGCATATCATTGCCAATAAGGCCAATCTTATAATGTGAAGGAATCCTAATATACATGTTGCTCAATGAAGGCTTGCAGTAGACTGTAGTAGAGAATCCCTTGGCAGATTTCTCAATTAGCAAATCAAGTAAGACTTCCCCAAAGTACATCTCAGGAGCATAATAAAGTCCCTCGGGGTAGGTGGGAAGGCAGTGGGCTATTGTCTCCTGCCTTATATTGCATACTTAGACCCTGAAAAAACACAGTGGCTCAGTAGTTGGCACTGCTGCTTTACACTGCCAGGATACCAGGTTCAATTCCACCCTTGGACTACTGTCTGTGTGGAGTTTGCAGTCTCCCAATGTCTGCATGGGTTTCCACTGTGTTCTCTGGTTTCTTCCAGCAGTTCAGTGTTGTGCAGGTTGGGTGGATTGGCCATGCTAAATTGCCCATTGTGTCTAGGGGTGTGCAGTCTAGGTGGATTAGCCATGGGAAGCTTAGGGTTAGGGTAGGGGTGTGGGTCTAGGTGGGATGCCCTTCAGAGGGTTGGTGAGGACTCGATGAGCTGAATTGTTTGCTTCCACACTATAGGGATTCTATGTAACAACCAGCCCCATGTGTTTAAATCCCTGTGTGAAGTTGCTCCTCCCTATTTGTCCTCTCCTACATTGTAGGACGAACAATCCTGTGTCTGTACAATTCTGTTTCTAATCTAATTTCCATAATTAATCTTACATAACTATGGGTCTTTACTTACATTATTTGCTCTTACATTGGCCATCCAAATGTTTGATCTGGTGGGTAACAGAGCTTCTAGGACTCTATAAAAGATCATTTTCTCTTACCATAGAAATGTTATCAATGCTCCATTTATATCTGTTTTGATAATCTCCCTGTCATCTCATTTTAGTCTCTCTGTTTATTTAATGACATATATATGGTCTCCATTTCCCCCAGAAACTAAATATTAATGTCTGATTAAGAGCATTAATTGCTCTGAAAACTCTTATAACCTTTCCTTTTAGCTGTTTACCATTCTCAAATAGCCATCCATCTCTCTGTTTTCATTGCCTGCTTTTTCAGTTTAGTCCGTCTGATAACCTTCTAAATTCTCCCATTAAATGAGTAAACTCATTTGCCAACCTGGTCTGCAGCATTGTCACCATGTCTTTCTTAGGTTTTGAGGCTTGGAGTTTGAGAAATGTGAATTGGTGTCACTTTTATTTCTGAGTTAACATTGTTCAAAATTTCACATCGTACAGGAACATTTGCTGCCCCTTCCTGTGCAAATGTTTTTAGATTATGTTAATTTATTCAACTTTATTTGCATATTGTATCAGCTAAGATACTTAGCATCTCCTCCCAGCCCCACATTTAGTTCCTGTTTTAGTTAAATTTCTGTTTTAAAAACCTTTATACACTTCACTACGTTGCATGTTCATTCTATGAATTGCTTGATGTTCACCCTGTTCTTTTGATTTTCTTGAGCTAACCTTTGGGAAGACCAAAGCCATCATCTTTACCCTCAACCCATCTTTGGTACCCAGTTCATCCTAGCCATTACTTCAAGTTGGGCAAGACTTTGCTGCCTTGGTATTCTTTCTGCCCATAAGTTGAGCAACTAATCTTATATGGTCGTCATTATGAAGACTGCCAACCTCCACCTTTGTAACGTTGTACATATTCACCAATACCTCAGCTCACTTGTGACTGAAACCCTTTTTTATTATTTTCTCAAGATCTATTTCAATTCTTCTCTGGTTAACCTCCCACTCTCCATGTTCCTTAAGGTTTAGTTCAACCAAGTGCACCACTGCCCACATACTGTTCTACCTCGAAGTCTGCTTATCCAATCCCCCTGTCCTCATTAACCTACATTATGATTCCAACAATTCCAGTGTAACGTTCCCATGCTTATGTTAATTTCCTTCATGGCCGCCTTCTTGTGGCTGTAACCTTCTTCAGCCTGACTTGAGATTGGATCCAAGTAACTGATGAATGTGGTTGGTAGAATTGAAAAACGAGTCAAATAAGAGAAGGGCAATGTGAAAATGACTGATTGCTCAATGCAATTTTTTGATAAAGCTTATTGTACTAAAATCTCCCAAAGTTACTCTCAATGCTCAAACGCTTTAATGAGGCTAACTACTGGAAAACTAGACATTAATATACTTCACTGGTAGCATTCTCAATCAGTTGCTTTTTCCAAAGGGGTTTAAAACAGTATTTGAATGACTGACTGGGGGCTCAGATATGGAGTCATAGTTTGCATACATTGCAAACTGATTGTTAAATATAAGCTAAAATCTTTTATAATGTTTAGTGAAAAGTAAGAGAATTCACAAAAGGAAACTATGTACCAAAATTTACAATATCTTGGTCCTTTATTGAAAAGGATGGCAGAATTTTCAATTAGTTGGTAAAGTAATAGGCAAAATTTCTCCAACTTTGCAATTCATTGGATGTTCAGGGGGACAAAAATTGCAAGTGGGAACAATACACTAAGAATTGGCATTTCACTTTTTATAACATATATATTTAGATGATTTATTGGACATGTCAAATTAGCATCTCTGTTGTTACAGAAACAAAGACATGCCTGAAAATGTCAGATCCACATCTTCCAAAAATCAGCTGTGCAGTTGTTCAAAAGAATGATGTAAAACGAAGTGAAGTGCCATTTTCTAGTATTGTTGACTTCTTTATGGAAAGGAAGAAAATTCTTCAATGGAATGGACTTCAGTGGCAGAGGATCAATATATCTGTGCCCTGCAATTTCCCTTTGGTCATAAGGTAGGAAAATTCCATTGCTACATTTACTGATCTGAAAAAAATGACAATAAATAGAAATTAGATTAAAGCAGGCAAGTTAAAAACTGTATTGCAGCAATATTATTCAAAAAAGATTCAAAGAAATTTTAAAGAGATAAAACTGTCTACAGTTCCTAAACTGTTAGTTAGCTAATCAATCATCCACCCCAAGAAAGGAATTGTACAAAGAACAATACAGCACAGGAGCAGGCTGTTCGGCCCTCCGAGCCTGTGCAAACATATTTTGCCCCTCCTTACAAAAACCGCCTTCACTTACAGGATCCATATCCGTCTGCTCCCTTCCTATTCATGTATTCGTCCAGGTGCTTCTTGAATGCTGCTAATGTGTCTGCTTCCACCACCTCCTCTGGCAGTGCATTCTAGACACTCACCACTCTTTTCCACTCTTGTGTGGAAAAACTTGTCTCGCCCATCTCTTTTAAACTCCACCTGCACACCCCCCCCCAGCCACTGCACCTGTGTCCCCTAGTAATTGACCCCTTCACTCTGGGGAAAAAGCCTCATACTTTCCACTCCGCCCATGCCATTCATAATCTTATAAACTTCCACCAGGTTTCCCCCTCAACCTCCTGAGTTCCAATGAAAACAAATTCAGTCTATCCAACCTTTCTTCGTAGCTAAAATCCCCCATACCAGGTGACATTTTGGTAAACCTTTTCTGTACCCTCTGCAAAGCATCCGCATCCCTCTGGTAGTGGGATGACCAGGACTGTACGCAATATTCCAAGTGTGCCCTAACTGAAGTTCTGCAAAGCTGCAGCATAACTTGCCTATCCTTATACTCATTATGCCCTTCAAAGAAGGCATGCTTGCCATAGGCCTTTTTTTACTACCTTATCTATGTGTGCTGCCACCTTCAGTGGTCTGTGGACCTGCACACCCAGATGCCTCTGCATATCAAGTCCTAAGGGTTCTGCCATTCACTGTATAGTTTCCACCTGTACTTGAACTTCCAAAATTCATCACCTCACATTTGTCCAGATTGAACTCCATCTGCCATTTTTCTGCCCATGCCTCCAACTGATCTTTACTTTGCTGTATCCTCTGACAGTCCTCCTCACTATCCACAACTCCACCAATCTTTGTATCATCTGCAAACTTAGGAATTAGGCCACCCACGCTTTCCTCCCAATCATTTATGTGGACCACGAACAGCAGAGGCTCCAGCACTGATCCCTGTGGAACACCACTAGTCACGATCCTCCATTACAAAAAGCATCCTTCCATTGCTACCCACTGTCTCCTATGACTAAGCCAGTTAACTATCCATCTTGCCAGCTCACCCTGATACCATGTGACTCATCTTCTGTACCAGTCTGCCATGAGGACCTTGTCAAAGGCTTTACTGAAGTCCATGTAGGCAACATCAATCGCTTTTCCCTCATCAATCATCTTCATTGCCTCCTCAAAAAACTTGATCAAGTTATTGAAGCACGATCTCCCCCGCACAAAACCATGCTGACTACTGCTAATTAGTCCATTTGCTTCTGAATGCTTATAGATCTTGTCCCTGAGAATATTTTCCAGTACTTTCCCTACCACCAACAGAAGGCTCACAGGCCTATAAATTCCTGGATTATCCCTGCTACCCTTTCTTAAACAATGGGACAACCTTGGCTACTTTCCAGTCCTCTGAGACCTCACCTGTGGCCAAAGGGGATGCAAAGATATCTGTCAATGCTCCAACAATTTGTTCTCTTGCCTCCCTCAATATTTTGGGACGAATCCCATCAGGACCTGAGGACTTATCTACTTTAATACTTCTTAAGATGCACAATACCTCATCCTTTTTAATAGCAACTTGGCTTAGAAATTCTACATCCCCTTCCCTGAGATCATCCTGTACCTGTACGCTGCTAACACCAGCTCTGGTCTTTTGAATTTTATGTACTCCATCTTAAAACCAGGGACATTAATCTGGTATCTTTCAACTATTTTGTACATAAGCTGTTATTAATTCATTTACCTCATTATCCTTTTCTATCCAATCTTTCTTCATATGTTTGCAAGCACGAATGTGTTGCAGAGTATCCCCTGCCTTACTGACGTCATCTCCGAGTGCGCGAAATGGACCCTACTTCTTGTTTAATTTTAGAACAGTGGTTGGAGTCCTTATAAAACCAGAGCCCATAAAAATCGGAAGTGAGAAAATGCATCATCAGTGTTTAAAAAGTGGAAATGAAATATTTCCTTAAGGACAGGTGGTGCAAATATTGTGAAAGATTAATTTTAAAACTCACAAATCATCCATGATAACCTGAAAACATGTATTGTTCCTTTTAGCAATTGCTAAAAGTACAGACTCTTCAAAATCAGGTATGTTAATGGACGAACAAAATTTGTTCGAGACTTTTAATAAAAAATAAGCTAATGACTGGAAAATATTCAGTTTTTCACATTAAGTCTTTATTGAAACAACTTAGCTGTAACAAGCAGCAGTCTGGTTCTGGTAACAAGTAAACCTATAAAAACTACAGAGATAGTAGGAACTGCAGATGCTGGAGAATCTGAGATAACAAGGTGTAGAGCTGGATGAACACAGCAGGCCAAGCACCT